AGCCCGATTGTTGAAATTAAGTGTATCGTAAAGTTATATTCAGAAAGAATAAACCAGTTTTATTAAGTAAGGACTTGTGTTGCTAAAGTTTCGTCGGAACGAATTTACGGGCAATCAATTAACAAACGGAAACGTAACAATATTTATAATAATTCATGTTTAGTGCAGTTACGTATATCGTAGGTGTTGGAATATTGTGTGTACTTCGTACAACACTATTGGTTTCTGAGGTGCTCATATTCATATGCCTGAGCACTGTATTCTTCTCAACCTTTTTTTGTCTAGATCACACTATCTATAAATGAAGAACTTTGTAGTATTACTCGTGAGAATAAAATACATTTTTGGTTACAGTTCTTAGTGGAACTCGACGGGTCTTCAGTACAGGTAATGCCTTAATTTAATGTTTAATGATTTATAATTGTTTATTTATTTTTAAAAAATACACTGTTTGCCCCATTGGAATATTGATGATTTCTTTGCAAGTATTTTCTGATAATAATCGATAATTAAGTGTCTAACTATAAAAAGTGATAAAGATGGTATACTCTCTGGTGATGTTAGTATTTTTTTTACTGGATAATTGAAAGATCGAGCCCTAAGAGACTTTGGAACTGACTTTTCGGCTACACAGCGAACTCCTTTTATTATTTCAGTTACTGCAACTTAAGTGTAATATTTTTCTCAGTTTCCATTTTAAGGTTGTTAGGAACAAGGAACAAAAACGTGCGAAGTCAGAACGCATGAAAACGGTTATTATCATCATCCATTATATGACGTCATTGCCTACAACCTATGCACAAGGAGAAAAGGAGACGCACGTGCATATGTAAGAATTTGTTAATTATATTTATATACTATCTTTACCTACTCAAGATGCATTACGCCTACAATCTATCTGTGATAGTGGATTTGGGATACAATTTAGGTTTGTACGATAGCGTCCGGAATGACGTCAGAGAAAAGAAGAAATGGTTTTGATGAAGTACAAAAATTGAGACGTGCTTTCATATTCTTCATAAAAAGAGAGTATATCTTCAACTTCGGTGTAAAAT